CAGAAGGTAAAGGGGGGAAGCAAGGCATGTCTTACATTGGCAGCCAGGTTGTGGGGAGGGAACTGCCAAACACTTTAAACCATTGGATCTCATGAGAACTCCCTCACTATCATGAGGACATGATGGAATAAACTGCCCTCATGAGCCAGTCATCTTCCACCAGGTCCCTCCCTTGACATGTGTGGATTACAATTCAACATGAGATCTGGGAGGGTCAAAGAGCTAAACCATATCAATGAAATATTATTCTTATACTTTTATTTCATTTTTTAGACATGATTTCTTTTAGTTCTTTGAATACGCTTATGGTGGTTGATTTAAAGTCTTTGTCAAGTGAGTCCAATGTCTGTGCTTCCTCAGTGATGATTTCTAGTAGTGGCATTTTTTATGTGTATGGCCATACATCTTCATTTCTTTGTGTGTTTAACATTTTTCTTTCTCGAGAATTGGACATTTTAGGAAAGGTAATATAGTAACTCTGAGAATCAGGTTCTTTCAGCTCCCAGCTTTTATTGTTGCTGCTGTTTGTTATTGTGGTTGTTTGATGACTTTCCTGAACTCAGTTTAGTCTTTATTCTTCGTGATGTGCAACCACTTAAAACTCATTTTGGGAAGCTACTAGTTAGCTAATGACTAGACAAAAATCTTTTTAGAAGCCTGGAAGTACAAGCCTCTCAGACTTTGCAGAGGGGTTCTGTGTGCATGCTGAGCCACACCTTCCACAAAGTCAGAATAGTTCTAGCTCTGCCTTAGCCTTCACTTCCTGCTTATGCAGATCCTCAAGTCAGCCAGAGGTGAAGTCCCAGGGCCATGGTAGGTCTTGCCTTAAAAAGCCCACAGCACTGGACATGTCCATGGCCCTGTAGATTTCCAGGAATGTGTCAGGGCTTTTCAAAGCTGTCTGTGCACATCTTATTTCCCAGATTTTTTATGATAAGCTTTTTGGTTAGCCTTTTGTTTTCCCCCAACTGGTATTCACCACATTAGCCAGCGAAATGATTTTCAATTGCTTCTGATTGTTTCTAACAGATGCCTGGAGAAAAAGCTGTTCTCACTAAATGAGCTCAGTTTAAATAAAGATGATATTCCAAGGAAGCAGACAGATCAAGTAATGACAATCCTCTGGGCATGGGGCTTTGAAGGAGCTCCCACCCTATTCCACCCCCATGGTGGCTTTACCATGATTTTAGGCTGTTAATTTTCAAGCTACATGGAGGGTAGGGAGCAGAGATGGGAGCTAGGCTAGATAAAAGGTCCAAGCTTGCTCTTTTACTGAGATTCAGTTGTTTGCCTCAAATAAACAGATTTCTGCAAGATTTCGGTTAATTTATGGATTTCTAGAAAACTTTCCTCTGATGACTTTGCTAGTGTTCTCATTGCTTTTATGGAGGAAGAAATTGGCAGGGGGGTTGCTTCCCTCTGCCATTTTTGCTGATATCACCCTGAAAGTTAATTATGGGCTTTGCTGAAGCCCTAGTCCAGTACATAGTCGGTTAGTGAGAGTTACAACAAGATGTAGTGCTTTTTCCCAAAGCACTTTCCCATTATCCTTCACCTGTCTCACCTATTTCATCCTAAAACCCATGCCCTTTAGCCCGAATCTTACTTGAGAAATTGTTTTGGGTTCCAGGCCTTCCAGTGTTGAGCGACCTGTCACATGGCTTCATTCCAGCAGCTCGTCCTCCGGGGCATGTGCCAGTGCTGCTGAAGCCGAGCTCATGGCAGTGGGTGCTGACTTGGCCACGATTTGCTGTACTGGCACTTGTCATCATTTTGTTTTTGTTTTGTGGAATGGGAGTTTGCTGCTCACATTTCACATGCAGAGAGCAGCAGATGCTCACAGGCACGCTCAATTCTTTCCATCATGGAGTTGGACTTCTTACAGAACTCCAGTTTCCAAGGCACTTATACAACTTAGTTTTTCTGAGAAGTTTACCATTTAAGGCTCCTAAAACCAGCAAACATTAGCATCTAAAAGGTATTTAAGCCTATTCTTTCAATCTTCTCCATATAATGATTAATGATTCCGATTTCCTTACATCCCAATGAAACAGAGATCCAACCATGTAAAGTGGTGTAAATGCATCATTCCTGGAAGATCACAGCTAGGAAGGGAGCTCACATCCAAGCTGCTGCTGCTGCTGCTGTTGCCACCTCTCCGATCCCCTGAGCACCTTTTTTATCAGAGTACCATGCAGAGTACAGTGCAGGTGCTGGCCCATTTGTAAGTGTTGGTATGTATGTCAGACATGGCTTAAGTTAGAACAATTGCTGCATGCCTGTCATTCATTTTGAAAGTGAGCCTTATTCTCTGCAGCAGCTTCATGACTGGTGTCACAAGGAACCTAGAAGCGAATTTAACCTCTCAAGAATGGTTTGGACGTGGAGAAGTCTCACTGTTTTGCAAGAGGGTATATCATTTTTGCATAGAAGCAACTGTTAAGCTCCTTCCATCACTCCAACTTTAATAGCTGGGTTGCATAGCTGTGTTTTCTTGACTCCCGATTTCTTCCAGGCCTATGGGTCTGCAGGAAGAGCCTGGGCAGTGGGCCCTGCCTTGGGGCTCTCACTGTGCCCCCACATTACTGTTCCTTTCTTTGACATCTTTCTCATTCAAAATGACGAACGAACCTTTGTGCTGCGCAGGTTGTAGTATTCGGTGACGGGTAGTGTGAGCTCTTTGTGCACATAATTCCATGTTATGAAAACCTTTCACCAACTTCTTAAATTGGCTGCCTTGAAGTGCACTTTGTGTTATGGCATAATCTGTATTATTAAGAATATGAATTGGGTAATTAGCATTAGATCTTTCAGAAAGAATTGGGAATTCAAAGAGAAAGACTTGCCTTCATTCTTCAGTCTTGATTTCGGGTATGTTATTTAACATGTCAATTTCTTCTAAGTATCTGACTTCAGTTTCTTCATGGGACTTGCTGAGATGATTTCAAAACTTTTGTTTAACTATATTTGGGGAAAATTTACCAAGATATTTCTTAAAGAAAATAATCCTTTCTTCAATTGCTGCTATTTCTGAAAGATGAACCAGAGTTTGTGGTTTATGATAAGCCATAGATACGGTCTGTGTTGCTAGACAGACACTGTACAGAAAGCATCACTGAGGTTGGGTCTCCATCTTTAGGAGCTTCGCATCAAGGACAAAGAACGTCAGCGACCGGGCGCAATGGCTCAGGCCTGTAATCCCAGCACTTTGGGAGGCCGAGGTGGGTGGATCACAAGGTCAAGAGATCGAGACCATCCTGGTCAACATGGTGAAACCCCATCTCTACTAAAAATACAAAAAATTAGCTGGGCATGGTGGCGCGTGCCTGTAATCCCAGCTACTCAGGAGGCTGAGGCAGGAGAATTGCCTGAACCCAGGAGGCGGAGGTTGCGGTGAGCCGAGATCACGCCATTGCACTCCAGCCTGGGTAACAAGAGCGAAACTCCGTCTCAAAAAAAAAAAAAAAAAAAGAACATCAGCACATATGAAGATGTGAGGAGACATTTCGACAGTAGAATACTAAGATGCTGACTATGTATGTTTGTGTGGCTTTCTCCTTTTTTTTTTGAGGTGGAGTTTCCTCTGTCACCCAGGCTGGAGTGCAGTGACATAATCTTGGCTCACTACAACCTCTGCTTCCTGGGTTCAAGTGATTCTCCTGCCTCAGCCTACTGAGTAGCTGGAATTACAGGTGTGTGCCACCATGCCCAGGCAATTTTTGTATTTTTAGTAGAGGCGGAGTTTCACTATTTTGGGCAGGCTGGTCTCAAACTTCTGACCTCAGGTGATCCACTGGCTTCAGCCTCTCAAAGTGCTGGGATTACAGATGTGAGCCACTGCACCTGGCGCCTATATGTGTCTCTCACTCATATCATTTTGAATCAATTCCATGAACTAAGACACAAAGTCATACTAAGAAATAAAGCATTTCCTGGAGTTCAAGAATTTCAGGGTTACCTTGACTCACAGAAGCTCTTTTTTTTTTTTTTTTTTTTTTTTTTTTTTTTGAGACAGAGTGTCACTCCATTGCCAGGCGCCAGGCTGGAGTGCAGTGGTACAACCTTGGCTTACTGCAACTCTCACCTCCCTGGTTCAAGCAATTCTCCTGCCTCAGCCTCCCGAGTAGCTGGGATTACAGGTGTACGCCACCATGCCCAGCTACTTTTTGTATTTGTAGTAGAGACGGGGTTTCACCATGTTGGCCAGGATGGTCTCGATCTCTTGACCTCGTGATCCACCCACCTCGGCCTCCCAAAGTGCTGGGATTACAGGCGTGAGCCACCACGCCCAGCTGGATTCATGGAAGCTCTTAATTCACCTTTCACTTTGTTTGTGCATTTCAATTCAATAGATTGTTTGTTCAACAGCATTTAAGTGCAGGCTCTCTCGGCAAGCTCTGTGCTACCTCTCAGATCCATCTTCTACTGCTGTGTGGCGAATTACTCCAAAACTTAGTGGCTTAAAGCAACTTAGAGGTTTTGCTGGGTGGACTGGGCTTGGGTGTCTCATGAGATTGCAGTCAAGATGCTGACGAAGGTTGCAGTCGCCTGAAAGCTTGGCGTCCCAGATGACTGATGTTGCTGAGAAGTCGATACCAGATGTTATAGGAGGCCTCTTCTGCTCAGTCGTTCCCAGAGCAAGTGGCCCAAGAGAGAACAGGGCAGAAGCTGCAATGTCTTTTTCACGTGGCCTTGGGTGTTAGACTCTGGGGTCTCCTTTGGCTCCAAGAATCAGCGCTGTTCAGTGTGGGAACATCTATCTAGGGTGTAAATCCTGGGAGGTGAAACTCAGGAGGCCATCCTGGAAGCTGGTTATGGTGGCCCTGGAGATTTGGAGGTGAGTCTGCGCCACGGTTCCCCCTCCTCAGGTAAGCACGTTTCCACGGGACAGTCCTTGCTTAGAGAAATAAGCCAACTGATGGGGGTGGGGGCCGGCTTTTCTTCTCCTTCCTTTTCTATTTATTTGGATCTAAATGACTTCGAATCCCTCCATTTTTCAGTTTACGTGCAAGTGTTCTCCGCCCTGATTGTGATCATTGCCGTAGCCTTCGTCATCACCATCATCTACAGGTCAGTCCTTTGTTCTCTCACCGCAAGGGTGGGGAGGAGGGGACTCACCTCTTCCAGCCGCAGCCTCCTGCCTGCCTGGGCCCCTTTGGGCTTGGTGCTGCTGGGGGGACCGGGAGCAGCGCTCCGTGAGCCTGGGGAAGGTTGCTGGGCAGGCAGGGACGGCCCCACCGATTTTCCCAGAGAGATCATTGATGAAAATCATAACCCACATTTAGTGAGCACCTTTCTCAAGTCCTCTGCTCAGCCTGTCCAGCCCTTGCAGAGGGCATAAGTGCCATTACTGTTCCTGGATTGGGACGATGGATCCGGCACTGAGGGGCCCCCAAGGGTGATGGATGGAGCAGCGAGGCTGTAACCAAGGCTCCCATTTGTCTCAGAGCCCTTGAACCCAGGGCTGCCTGCGCCTCTTGGCCTCGGCCTCTGTCCTTGTTGCAGGGTGTCAGGGTTTTGGAAGTATCTCAGAGATGATGAGTCTACTTTCTCTCATTTTAATGGTGAGGAAATGCAGACCTGGGGAAGCAAGGCAGCCCTTGGCTGTCCCCAGGGCCGGACTGGAATCCAGCATCTCACTCCCTGGCCAGGCACCTTCGCCATGAGCCCACTCTGACTTACATACAAGCCCCTGAGTATTTGAGTCCCTTTGTCCAGGAGTGAGTAAAGCCATTTTCCTGTCGTGAGTGGTGCTATGTGCCGTCTTACGTGTGTTCGTCACAAAGATGAAGCCTCAGTATCCTGCAGTGCAGCGCCACCCCACCCCGACCGGAGCCAGTACAGCGCACACCCCACCCTGCCCGGAGCCAGAGCAGTGCCACCCCACCCCGCCCGGAGCCAGAGCAGCACACACCCCACCCCGCCTGGAGCTGTCTGTGGGAGTCCAGCTGCCTCATGCAGTCATCTGTTTGGAGCCTGCATAAGAAACTAATACAAGCCTGGGTGTGGTGGCTCCTGCTTAGAATCTCCCAGCACTTTGGGAGGCTGAGGTGGGAGGATCACTTGAGCCCAGGAGATGGTGGCTTCAGTGAGCCGTGTTTGTGCCACTGCACTCCAGCCTGGGTGACAGGGCATGACCGTCTCCAAAAAAAAAAAAAAGAGAGAAATAAACGAAAATGAGAACTGTTACATCAAAGCATTTACCTTAAAAAACAGATGTGCATGATCATGAGCCAATGTTTTCAGAGGGATGTGCGGGTGGGGGGACTAGAGAGTTTCGCCTCTTAACTTCTCTGACTATGATAAAACCCTCTTCCCACCAGAGCTGTTCAGGAGATCAGGAGAGAAAAGGTGGACGCCAAGCTGTCACAGAAGTCCAGTGAAAAGGCGGAGATTGCCTCATCCATCAGCAAGCCAGGGCTGAAGCCTCTGGGTGCTGGGCCCTCACCTGGTGAGGGTGACAAGGTGAAGAGTGACGAGGCTGAGGATGACGGTGAGAAGCTTCTGGAATGATCTTTGGCTTAGGGTCGAGGGCATGGCTCTGTTCCCTCAGGAGATCTTCCCCTGAAAGGTGCTCAGCACCTGCCCCGACTGTTCAGTCTCAGTGATCAGTGTTGTAGCTTGTGCAAAATTCTAATTTACCAGACTGTGGAGGCTCAGGTTTGCAGGGTAGGCGTGACTGTCAGAGAGTTTCCCTCTCTGAGTGTTGTCCTCCCCTTTCCCTTCCCCTTCTGTCTCCCTGTCATTTCGCCCTCTGGCGGGGCCCTCGGTGTTAGTGGGGGAGGCTCCCGGGGAGGGGATGAGGTCCAGCAGAGCCTGTGCATTTGATCAAGTGACTTCCTGCAGGAGGCTGCAGGGCCACCATGGCTACTCTGTGGCAGGCTGATCACATGGTGGTCATGGTTAGATAGGTGGACGATCACCCTATGCCTGCCTGGGTTTCCAGGAAGGAAAGTTGCTCATATGTTGGTTAATCCTCCTCGAAGGCTCTTGGAAGTTTCTGGTTGCTTTTCCTGATCAGCAACTTAGCAGATTAGGGAGAGAAACATCTCAGATGGTAAGCCTTATCTTCAGAGGTGTTTCTACAGGAATGTGAATGGCCTGGCCTTTTCCACTGTTGCCAAGTAGCCTGGGTTTTACAGGGACCATCAGGAAAAGCAGGAGGCAGGGGAAGAGGGTGACTCCCACTTGATTTTGGATCTGGAATGCCTGACCCCTAACTGTGGCTGTGACTGTGGAATGAGGCTTTCCTGCAGGACGGACGTTGGCCTGGTGCAGGGAGCCTCCTGTGTAGTGCGACTGTGGGAGGAAGACGGTTTCACTGCCCTAAAAAGATGCTTCTCCCTGGAAGGCACTGAGAAACACAGGGCAGCTGTGGCCACCCCCCAAACTGGCTTTTGAGTCAGTCATTGCCAATCGGACGCCACGTAGATGTGTTCAAAGACCCTGATGAAATATTTTCGGGACTGCTGAATATTTCATTTGAAAAACAATTCTTCTTTTCTAAAAATCTAGTAACAGTGATAATAACAGAAGCTGAAGAAACTGAGGACTGACTGAAATACACGAAGATGTGAGGTTGGAGAATTCCCCAAAGGAAATGGCACAGCAGGTGGACTGTTATGAGACCACCCAATGAGAGAAAGATAAAGGGATTTTGAAAATCGCTTCTCGTCTGATGCTGCTTATTAATTCCTGTATTTTTATCTTAGGAGGGAGAAAGCCTTTGGGGTAGGAGAGTGGGAACCTGAACTTTTAGTTTTTAATGGCACGCTTGTCACTAAGATTGATGCCACGGGGGCTCACAGCATCGGCACAGGGTGGTGTCCCGGAGGTCTCTGCACTTTCGCCAAGAGTGGGCTGCCACATGGACACAGGCAGCTCAAGTTTGGCTTTGCTGGGACTTAGTCATGCTGTGGGGGAGGAGCAGCATCCAGATCTGGATCTGTGAGGCCCCAAAGCATCGGCCGCAGCTTCCTGAGAGCCCCTCATCCAAGGCAGAGCGCGCTCAGTCCCAGCGTGGCCGACAGACACTCACAGGCCGGCCCAGGGCAGCCCACGGAGCTCGGAGGCTCTGTTTTTTCCACCTTGGAAATGTGCATCTGCACAGCAGCTGTGGCCCTCCTGTCCATGAGCTGCAGCTTTAAAAAAGAAGGATGATGACCAATCCAGATAGACCAGACGCATCCTGCTCCAAGGATTATTTAGCTGAGAAATCAGTTTGCAGGAGCCCGGAGAAGCCCTGCGTTGGTTTTCTGGCTGGTAAACCTTGTCCGCTGCTGATGGGCTTGGCCCTAGGCTGCACCTGAACTTGAGCTTGGCTCGGGCCTGCCCTGCTCTGGGGCTTCCTGCAGGGGAAGTTACGGGCCTGTGTTAGCCCTTTTCTTCTGTGGGCACCTCGCTGGTCTTTGGCCTCTCGGGCTCTTGTACTGGTGTCGATCAGGCATCAGCACACCCTTACGTCCTGACACAGTGGCTCTCTGGTGTGATTTCCCTGGTGGGGTGACCCCAGCCTCCATTCTGGTAGAATCTGAGTTCTCGGATGTGGTCTTTATTGAGTTGTCATAATTTCCCTTTGACTGGGACTGTTCAGCAAGGATGTCCCAGGTTTCCCAGTGGATTCCCAGGGTTCTAGGCAAGCTTCTTGCACTTCCTCTGGTGAGTGTCCACCTTCTCCCGCCCTGGCTCTCGGTTCAGAGGGTGAAGAGCTGCAGATGGCCGGTGGAGGTCTTGGCTTCCAATCCTTAGAAGCAGGACCGTGTTCTCTGGTGGAAGCGCTCCTCCCTTGGCCCCAGAGCCTCCTACTCACCACTGCTTTGGTTTCTGTCTCTCCTGAACACACCTCCTAATACCTAGACTGGCTGAAAACACCACCAGTCATGCATGTGCTCAAGATGATCAATTTGGGTGGGGCTTGATGGGGAAACTTGCGTCTGCTCCACACAGCATTAGGTGGAGCATCCCAACTGGGGCTGGGCAACCACCTCATGTTGAAATGTGATACTTCCAAAAAGGCTCCCTAACACAACTGTCCACTTGGCGCTGGTTGTCAGCTGGGAGGTGGTAGCCAGGGCTTTGAGTTTTCCTCCCTCTGGCCTCTCTATGTGGCCCGTTGGGCTTCTCACAGCACCACTGCTGGGTCTGGGAAAGAAAATCCCAAGTGACCATTCTGCAAACAAGGGGACGAACCCCAAAGGGCAAATACTAACCAAGTGCCGGCACCATGTTTCCTGATGTTCCATCAGGCACAACGGGTCGTGGCCAAGCCCAGAGTCAGGTTGGGAGAGTATGACCCAGAGACATGAACAAGCAGGCATGGTTTGTTGGCGTCACCAGATAGGCTACCGTAGCCATAAAATATGCGCCTTGGTTCGAGGTGACTTTGCTGGTGTCAGCAGAAGTGCTGTGAGCAGGGAAGGCAACTACACACCAGGGACATTGTCTATGGTTGAGAAGATACGGTGTTGTCCCCGTCATGATGGAAGGGCCCAGTGTACTCAACCTGCTAACAGGTGGTATCTGGCCACCCTGAAAAATGGCGCCACACAGCTGTCTGGTGTGGGCAAAGGTAGGCGGTTGAGTGATCAGCCCTGGTCAGAGGAAGGTTGGGCCGCTGAGCCCGCGCACAGCTTCCATCCCTGCTGCTGTGGCTGCTCTGTGCGTGAGCCCTTTCAGCAAGCCTCAGGGTAGCCGAGGAAGGGCTGGTTGACACTCGCGGGGTATCGGGTTGTTCGTGTAATTTTTAAATGCCTCCCGCAGTGGGTGTCTTGTGGTGGACATAGGTTCTGAGAGGTTCACACATGTGTTTCTCACCTTGACCCCTGATAGAGTTTGGATACTTGTCCTCAGCCAAATCTCATGTTGAAATGTGATACCCAGCATTGGACGTGGGACCTGGTGGGAGGTGTGTGGATCATGGGGGCAGATCCCTCACGAGCTGCCTGAGCCATCCTCTTGGTGACAAGTGAGCTCTCTGAGCTCACACAAAATCTGGTCATTTAAAAGTGTGGGGCAGCTCCCCTCACACCCCCCCCACTTCTCCCGCTTTTGTCATGTGATGCACCTGCTCCCTGTTCTCCTCCTGCCACGATTGGAGATTGGAAACTTCCTGAGGCCTCACCAGAAGCTGAGCAGATGCTGGTACCATGCCTCTGCAGCCTGCAGAACCGTAAGCCAACTGAACCTCTTTTCTTTTTTTTGAGACAGAGTTTCGCTCTTGTTACCCAGGCTGGAGTGCAATGGCGCGATCTCGGCTCACCGCAACCTCCGCCTCCTGGGTTCAGGCAATTCTCCTGCCTTAGCCTCCTACCTCTTTTCTTTATAATTCTTTGTAGCAGTGCAAGAACAGCCTAATACAGGCCCCTTGACACCAATTTCCCAGTCTTATCCTCTCCAAGCCCATGGCCAGCTAGTCAGCCCATGAGTCAGCACCCCAGGCCATGTCTTCTTCCACAGAAAGTGGATGTGGATCATGCCACATACTTTGCTTACTGGGAGGGTCTCCCTTCACCCCTGGGTTTTGTGTGAGGCGGCAGCACAGGATCTGCCTGCTTCTGCAGGGCTGGAGTACTGTACAGGTCCACCCATAAACCTACACTTGGAAGAAATGGTTTCTGCCAGAGCCTAATAGCAAGCCAATAGCTGCTTTTGAAAAGGAGATTTTCCAACAGAATAGGGGTTAACCTAACTGCAACTTTCAGAGATTTGTGCAGTGATTCTCCTATTAGAACTTGCCAGATGAGTCCCTACAGTTTCTCGGTATGATTCAATTCAGACTCTTCTCGAGGTCTTAGGCCTCCAGAGCCATGCAGGACAATGCAGAAGACTTGGCATTGTCCTGAATAAGGTGATTGTATAATTTATAACCCAAACCCGGACTTTTGAAAGGGAAAGAAGTGCTATTGATAATTCTGCCAGAGTAACAGGTGTACCTGGGCCTTGGCAATGAAGCAGCTCATTAATGGGACACTGCCGTTGCTGCTATGTGAAGGCAGTGTCTCGTTTTTCTTTATGAATGCACTGAAATAAAATATTTTTCAAATTGACAGCTGCTAACTGGTTGCATACCAGCTGATTTATTCTAGTAAAGGGAAATGTGTAATTACACCTGCCATTGTGATCAACACCTCACGAAATCTGCGTGACTTGCGGTTACTCTCCAAGACCCATGTGGCTGTTATATTTGCTAAACAGGTGAGATAAATGAAGATTGTGGCAGGAATCATCACTATCTTAGTCCATTTTCACACTGCTGTGAAGAACTACCCGAGACTGGGTGATTTATTAAGAAAAGCATTTAATGGACTCACAGTTCTGCAGGCCTAATGGGATGCATGACCAGAGGCCTCAGGTAACTTACAATCATGGTGGAAGGGGAAGGGGAAGCAAAGACTTTCTTTACATGGGGGCAGGAGGGAGAGAGAGAGAGAAAGAGAAGGGGGAAGTTCCAGATACTTCTAAATCATCAGATCTCATGAGAACTCACTGTCCTGAGAACAGCAAGGAAGAAATCTGCCCCCATAATCCAGTCACCTCCCACCAGGGCCCTCCTCCAATTTGACATGAGATTTGGGTGGGGACATAAATCTAAGCCATGTCAATCACCCAGACACCAGGTCTTCGGTGGAGGCACTAATATTTAAGTCTGCTTGGGGTATTATATTACTTTTTCTTAACATTTTTATTGAGGTGTTATTAGCAGATACTGTGCACATATTTGAAGTGCACAGTTTTGTAAGTTGTGACGTCTGAATCCATCCATGAGGCCATCACTACAGTCAAGCTAATGAACACATCCGTCACTCAAAGGTAGAGTCAGGCTCCTTTGTGATCCCTCACACCTGCCATCCTTCATCCTTCCCGTCGTGCTCAGCAACCATGGATCTGCTCACTGATACCAGAGATTAGTTTTCATTTTCTATACATGGAATCATACAGTATGCATTCTTTTTGTCTGATCTCCTTCACTTAGCGTAGGTATTTTGACATTTAGCCATGTTAATGTATTTATTAATGGTGCATTGCTTTTTATTGCTAAGTAGCATTCCTTCATCTGCATATTCCACATTTGTTTATTCAGTTACTTGTTGATTGGCATTTAGATTGTTTCTAGTTTTTGCTTATTATGGATAAATCTTCCGTGAATATTCACATGCAAGTTTTCATTGCAAAACATGTGGATATATGTTTTCATTTCTTTTGGGTAAATACCTAGGAGTGAAATGGCTGGGTCACATGGTAGATGTATATTTAATTTAATTTTTTTTTTTTTTGAGATGGAGTCTTGCTCTGATGTCAGGCTGGGGTACAGTAGTGCGATCTTGGCTCACTGCAACCTCTGCCTCCTGGGTTGAAGCAGTTCTCCTGCCTCAGCCTCCCAAGTAGCTGGGACTACAGGTAGGTGCCACCATGCCCAGATAATTTTTGTGTATTTAGTTGAGATGGAATTTCACCATCTTGGCCAGAATGGTCTTGATCTCTTGATCTTGTGATTTGCTCACCTCAGCCCCCTCAAAGTGCTGGGATTCCAGGCATGAGCCACTGTGCCTGGCCATATATTTAACTTTTTAAGAAACCGACAACCTGCTTTCCATTTTCAATTCCTACCAGCAGCTGAGAGTTCCAGCTGCTCCACGCCCTTACAGAGACTTTTCTGGCCAGTGTTT